ACTAACTCTGGCGCCGTTAACTTCTATCGAATCGCTTCGAAATTTCAACTGTGACTAGAAAATAAGGTTTTTTTCCAGTATATTTACATTTAAAAATTCCCTGATCATAGTTTTGGTGCATATACAAGTATATCGCCCCTTAAAACAATTTTTCAATAATGTTTCACTTTCAAGCCAAGGGAACAATAGGAGGTCAGAGTGTAAAGAACGTATACGGCATACTGGGAAATTTTTAATGCCATCCCAGCTTGCAGCTTTGTTAGGGCAAATCTAAGGTGTTGTTATAATTGGTTTTCTTAACGTCCATATATATATACATATATGTAATGGAAACTATTCATATATATATCTCATTACTAGCAATAAGATAAAAATAATTATTATTATTGTTATGGTTATGAAAATGGAAAGAAAGAAAAAAAACATTTACTTTTGAAGTCTTGACGGACGGGAAAAGAATTCAGGCTATTATTTATCTCTGGTCATACTCATATCGTAATATTATAATCCACTTAATATTAATTGAGGTACTTAGAACATGTCCTTCTATGCCATAAGCATTTCAGAAAAACGTCACTGAGAATCGAAAACATATTTGCACATGTGTGCGTGTATGTCCAAGTGTTGTAAAAACATATTTTTTTATTACATTTATTAAGTTGGTTGTGGGTGAGTTTGTGTGAATGTTAGTATAATTAAGTTCTGGGTCATAAATGCGGCCGTTTACGTTTCATTTGTTTCATTTGCGGTAGAAAGAAAGCACACACATTTTGGAGAAAAAACATTTTACTTTCAACTATGATTTTCTAATTCGTGTATGAGTTTTGCCATGACGACTTTATTGCGATCTGTGCAGAAGAGCTTTAGGGTTTAATTCGTCATCAAAAAAATTTTTGTAAATTTTTCTTTAAAGAAGAACGACAGATAGGTAGGTAAAGAAACTTACATTTATTAGATATTAACCTTAGAAACATAGTTTTTGGATAATTATATCGAAGGGAAACAACATATATATTATATTTCCTGGGGTTTTGCAATTAAATAAATTTATGTTTTTAATAACGCATAGACGTAATTAAAATTTTAATCATACAAAACTTACATATAATATTTCAACGGCATACAACGATTCCCTTAGTAACACATGTTACCACAATATTTATACAAGTCTATCCTATCTATATAGAGACATATGTGTGCAAGACTATAGATAATTGTATGTATATGCAATGTTGGCGTAGTTATGTAAAACTATAAGGTTATAAGGTTTAATAATAAAAAGAAAATTTAAAGTTTATTCAACAAATCCAAGTGAGAAGCATATCCTCATTATGTCCACCTCTTTAAAATAACATAAAAATTGTCGAATATTTTAGGAATATTTGATGGGCATTATTTATCGCCCCAAGGTATTTGAATTTTGGAATATTTCTTAGAATTATTTGTATGGAGCTCTTTCTCTTCCCCGTTTATATCAAACCTGTGCAACAAAGCAAAGCCGATTATCCAAAACAATTAGATAAAATTAAGGCAAAAGCGAAGAATACGCAACTTTAATGCCTTACTAATAATTAACAAAATAAGAAAATTATATTCGGCTGAGGTCTAATCTTGTGCGCCTGCCCATTACCATTTATTTTATCGCGCGAATACCAAGTGCATCTTATCGCTGCCCGACACGGTATCGATATCTTAATAGTTACTACCAGGAGAATATCAACAACACTTATCCACTCAGACATGGTTAGATCCATTTGGAGTTTGGCGCTGATCAAGACTATGTAATGGTCTCTGCTGCAAAGCTTCCGTTTGGGTTTGGGTTGGCAAGTTTATGGCCATTACGATTTTCTCCCATCTTCCCTTGATATGCATAAATATAATCCACTTACCGCAACAAATCAAAAACTGGTTGCGCTCTAAGAGAATACCTTCAATTTCGTAATGACTGCTTCATGCTAAGAATGATTTTAGATAGCAAAAAATACAATTAACAGAAAGTTTTACTTGATCACTTAACGGAAGTTAATCAATTGCTTGCTACCGAAGAAAGCTTCCTCCTAGCAATCCAGTCACACAAGAGTAAACCAAATAAATTTTACAAATTGTGGGATTGTTTTCTCAAGCTAATAATATTGCGAAGAAAAAAAAATCCTAAAAAGCCGAAGCTGACTTCTTAGCAACAATGTACAAGCACGAAAGTAATGTAAAAGGAAATGAGGAAAATCTTGGGCAAATTTTTCCGAAAACAATGAGTCAAAATAAGCCGACATCAAAGTATCCTTGAGTCGGAAATATTAGTCTAAATACAAAATTGTTACCAGCAGTTAAATATTCCCGAAAGGGTTAATTTAAATTTCAAAATTTTAAAAGCACATTAGCGGCTCTTCAAGGTCAACAAACAAGCAGCACGAGTTCTGTGAATAAATAAATTAAATTTTACGATTTTTATTTCGTCATCCATTGAATCAAAAAGGCCTTCCTCTTGGTCACTTGGTAAAGCCCATCTTCACGTTAAATTTGCAAATATTTCGAATTTCTTTTGATAATTTTTCAACCCTTTAATTCAAAAATAACACAAGACAAGCAGGCAAGGCAAGCAAGCAAAAGTTTTCATTATTCCAGCCGCAAATTAACTCGAATGCTTTACTCTGATAGGTACTGGCATTCATAGAAACCATGACAACAAATATATTTTTTGCGACTGTACCAAAAAGCAGCCAGCAATCGTCTGATAGCCGTGTAGGCATAAATAACAAAACAAAAAAAAAAAAAAACACAAAATCCCTTGTTGTTTACTTTGCAAGGATGATAATGCACAGCACAGAGGCAAAGGTAGAGATAGTAGTCATATGACTATTGATTTAAAATCTTTTATTCAAGCTTATGTGGACCCATATATATGCTATATGGATGCCATGTGTCCGTAGATGCTTGTACGAACGAGAGTAGGGGACAAATGATGTATGAAATGCAAAAAGGTATATGACGGACTGCTTGATTCGTTTGTGATAGTTTGTGGAAAAAGACATTAAACCGCTTTTCCGGCAACTGGTGTCTTTGCATTTTCTCTTAAAGAAATTTTCATTATTCGAATCAAATATTGAATGAAATCCGTCAAGATGCTTGCTTAGCATCGTAAAGCTTGCTTTCTTCTCATCGTGTTTCTGTCTTTTTTTTTTCTTAAAAGTCTTTACAGGGAATTCGAGTATCCTACTGGCTAGAATCGAAACATATGGAACATATGGATTCACATTCCATTGCAATAATTCTTTCTTGTTGTTGTGAAAAAAAACTTCTCAACTCTCATACCAACTTAATGGCAACTTAATAAAATTATAAATTTCGTATTATTTGTTATTGTTGCTGGAAATTTGTTGGCGTAAATTAAAAACTAATAAATCATAATTTGTAATATGAAAATATGTCTGGGAAAGTTTCATTGCTGGTAAAGCACACATAAAACTTTATTGAAAACACGCTAATGACCATTCAACTAACTATGACTTTTGAAAACTTTCTGCTGCGGAAATGCTGCACATTCCTCTTCACTCTTGTAAAATGTAAGAATATTTGAACAACATTTTTTTTTTTTTTTTGTTAATCTTACCCTGAACGAAAGTGCAAAATTTTCTATTATTCGAAAAAGGTTTTTGTGCAAAGTATTTTTTAATGCGTGTCTTGATCTCACTTAACAAAAAGCAAAATGAAGCCGCCCTAGGCAATAGCGTTCTTATGTATAAATCCAATCAATATACACGAACTACAATGCAATACTACATTTCTTACACACTCACACCTGCTTTTGTGCGATGAATAGAGACCGTATTATCGTACAAAAGAAGCTTTGAGTGTAGATGGAAAGTAAAAAATTCCTGCGAAAATACTTTTGGGCAAATCACAGCTTTAACCTTGATCCGTCAAGATTACACGAGTAGATAGGCAACTTTACAAGAATTTAAAGTAAAGGTCAAGTTAATTGGAGCTGCGTAGAGTTTCTATAAAAAGAAAAGAAAAAACAGATTTAATTGCTTTCGGGCTAACATGTAAAGAGAGTCAAGATAAGAGGGCCTGCACACCCCGCAAACAAAAAGACGAACTTATAAATTCCTTATACTTCGGCGATAGCTGCAAAACCATCCTCTGCCTAGGGGATGGTACAAAAATTTCTACATAAAATTTCCTGAAAAGTTCGATTTTGTCAAAGTCTTTGGTTAATGCCTTGCATTGGCTTCTCAAATGTTTTTCTTTAGTTTTCAAAATAATGACCATTTCATAGCTTGCCGACTATTGTCTCTTTTCGTTAATGTTACTGTTGCAGACGCTATTCGGAAAATATTCCCTTGGAATGGGAAATGAGGAGAATTGAGAGGGTTAAGGTCGACTCGTAAAAATTGATACATTATCGTGAATAAATAAGAACATAAGCAAAAAAAATTGTGTACAAACACACATCTACTTTCCTCGTAAATTTAATGCGCAGGATTTCGTAACCGGATGAAATAATGTTTAAGATTTCATAATCGAATGAAATGATGTTTAACATGCCATATTCGAAATGTTATTTGGTGAAATTTTAGAAGAAATAGAATAAAACGAAATGACCTCGTGTTTCCGAATTTAAAAACGTCATGCCATCGTTCTTTATCAGAAATACATTAACAGCAAGTATTAATTTAATACAATGAAAATGGTAGTAGAATAAATAAAATTCTTATCAAAATTCTTTTCCCGATATAATCACTTGCCAATTCGCACGCAATGCGAACTTTCAGCGAAACTTATGTGCCAGGTTTCCTAATAGTATTAAAATGCCAGATTCTTTTTGTTACGTTTATTTATGAAACTTAAATGTGTTATTCATTGATTTCAATGCAAATGTAATTATCACACGTACTGCTTAGAATTATGCAAACAAATCAAGTTGTTTTGAAAACAACCATAATTAATCAATTAATTTTATTACATCCTTTTCTTTTTAATAATTTTTCTTTGATATCTCGATTATAATACTATAAAAATGAAAAAACCTCAGATGCGGCAAAAAGAAAAATAAAAATTTAATAAACTAAATGCTAGGCGCAGATAGGAAAGCTATTATTTTTACGAGAGAAGAAAAATTTTCTGAAAAGCCCTCCATGTCCCTCCCACCATAGTTGAAAAAATTTATTGCTTTTGCAAGTACTCATCGAATAGGTAAATGGCCAAAGAGGGATCTGGCTGATTCATTAATTTAGATAAATCGTTGGCGTAACCAGATAATTTGCGTATAGTTTCGGCTTGAGAACCCAAAAATTTCTCTTCAATATATTGGGCAGTCTCTGGATCACGGGCAGCATGCAACGATTGGGTATGTACGTGAATAGCACCGGTAGTCAATTGTTTCTCATTATCCAAAGCCATGGCCAACGAATGCAGTTCATCAACTTCCAAACGCTGTTGTTGTGTGCTTACAGAAGCAGGACTTTCGTGGCGTGTATTAAAATCAGCTCTACCACCACGACGCGTCAGTTGCTTAATCATGTCAATAGTGTCATCAAATGAACGATCAGAAAGAGACTGATATAATTTTTGAAAGCCTGGACGATTCTTCTGATAAGAATTGAAGTGTGTCGCCAAAAGTAAATATTCGTACGATTTAGTCAAATGCGAGTTAATATAAGCTTGTAATTCAGGCTCAACATGACTGATACCGCCATAACGTGCATTACAAATTGAAGGACCTATTTCAAATATATATCAAGAAAATGTTGTTTTTTACTCGATTATAAGTAAAACTAGTCAACAAAAATATTTGCGTTAAAAAAGTATAAGATTAGTACTCTTACTCTCAGTCTCAGTAGCAAACATTCCGGTTAAAGCTTGTTTGATATGGGAAGAAAATAAGAGCACCCGGAAAGAAATTTATTTAAAAAATTTTATTTTTTTTTTCTTTACAGAAAATTCTACAGTAATTCTCTTAATGTTTTACATAGTACATGTTAAGGAAAAATTTCTTCCAAATTTTAACATATAAGAAAAACTGTTAATTTTCTACATTTATATCGCGCAAGTTTTTACTCACCAGAGAGCGTAGATGTTGAGCAAGCTCTCACTACGTTATTATGGCAAACCTCTTCTGCGTTAAGTGAAACGCAAGTGCTAGCAAGCAATGCAACAAAAATTAAAAATTTCATTTTTTTGTATTGATTTTTGTATTCGAAGAACTGAAATAAATGCGTAAAAAAAGTAGATTTTGTTTGGTTTTGAAAGAGACTTTGTAAACAATTTAAATAAATAATTTTGATTAAATTTTCAATATTATTTCGTATCGATGTTGTTTCTAAAAACAAATTTCGAGTAAATTTTCATGGCTTTCCACAAAAAAATATTTATAAGGAAGTTGAACAAACAAATATTATTTAACACTTACTTCTTATTTAGCTTCAATTTAAATTTATAGTTCTTTGTATTACTTAAGAACAAAATGTCTTTGTTTTTTATTTTTAATGCTTTTTCTTCTTCTTGCTAATATATAAGTGTCTCGTTTAAGTTCAGCTATTCAACTGATGTTCCATAGTGCCTCGAATCGATACTTGTATACTTCATAGCAAGCGAGCAATGTAGACAATGTTTACTCTTCTCTCTAGCTCTCTATTATTTAAAAAAATATGGCTTAGCCAATATGGCTGCCGACCGACGCAATAAATAATTGTGGTGGTGTGAAAATCTGACTCACATTTGTTCATAATAAAGAGAATTTCGAGAATTTTCGGGGTTGCCGTAATATTTCGCAAAGAGCTCTTCGTTTTTTCCTTCCCATATATATATAATTTTTTATTTTCAATATTCTATTCTTTGCAAAGCTTAATTGGTAATAATCGAAGAAAATTCTTAAGCATATCCCTAATTTTTTGTGAACAGCATTGTATTTGCTAAACTAAAGTAGTGAAGTCTAGATGGATCTGTTGAAATTGAAGAATTTTAGTTGAAATTTACAACTCTATTTTTCAACAATGGTCAATATTACCATCGAAATTTACAACTGACTTTATTTCAGCAATAAGTTTAGATTTTTCATAATAACTTTGGCAATATCAATAAAAATTTCAAAGCTACAGATAAATTTTTTTTAATTTGATAGTAAAGTGTCTTGGTAACCCTGTGGCATTAATTTGCAAATAGATTAATTAGTTTTAAACAAAATAAATACGAGACAGCTGACGCAACCAAAAAACCAAATAGCTTTATTTTATGATCAAATTTGACATGAGCAAAAAAATTCAGTAATTTTGTTTACCGCACACTTATTTGGCTATACTACTATATTACGTATTTAGAAAAAGATTATCAAAAATTGTTTGTTATGAAAATGCACGCCGCCATAGTTAGCGACATGTTGGATAGATAGCAGAAGAGAGCAAATAACTTAGCCATTACATGCATATTCTCTGAGAGTGAAAGAAAGAGGGAAAATGTTGTGCAGTGTGAGTTTTTACTTAAAAGTATTTAACACCACACCATTATCCGACAATTTTCAGTATTTCAATACATAACGTGCCAATAGTCGAGTGTAATTTATTAGTAGAAAGCGGGCTGTAGTAAACGAAAAAGTAATCTTTTTTGTTTTATAGAATCAAAAATTTCAACGACTGTGTGTTCTAGTCGTCATAAAAGCAAAAAATTTCCATTTATAATACGGTCGCCTTCTATGCCAGTGCGTATAAAGGTTTTGACAACTTTAATCAATAACAATAAATAATAAATATTAAATAATATCAAAGCAATTTTTCCAACTTTCAAGAAAGCAAAATTTTTAGTAACATTTCTTTGACTACTGGAATTTAGCAAAAATTAATTTTCATTTTGTGCATTTAGCAAAGTGACGCATAAAAGACAACCGAAAGATTGATTTTTTCTTTAAAAACTTGAAAAGACATACATATATATAACATTTCTGTGATTTCTTGTGAGAAAAACTAGCAGAAAAAAATCAAAACAAAATGATGAAATTAATTGTGACCTTATGTATTTTGGCCGTAGGATCGCAAATAGTTCATGGAGAAATGAAATGTAAGTAATAAACGGTTAAATATTTTTTTAAATTGTCTTTATTTTATGTGTACAGGAAAAAATATTCATATGCGCAGTTTTTATTGATTTTCAACTTTGTTTTTAATAGAAGAAAAAAGAAAGGCAGTCAGTGTTCTCTTTAATTCTTATCTAACAGTATTGTAAAGTTTTAACAGTAGCTTTTTAACAGTTAACTGTTTATGAGAATGTTATTTCTTTTTTCCTTACTTCAGGTCATTTGAGATTTTGTTGTAAAAAAAAAAAAAAAAAATTCTAATTACATATGACAATCATCGAAAGTGATTTATCGTTCAAAGCAGGCGGAAGTCGATTTTAATTTCTGTAATATGTAACTTTTTAATCTTTTCATTATTGATTTACATAAACAGCAAACACGGAAAGCTCCTACTGATATTGAATTTCCTACTAGAAAAGGTTTTCTTACTTTCCTTTTTATCATCAAAGAACCCATCTTTTCATTAAGCCTACAAAATTTATTAAACAACAAATTCGACAATGGCTCATAAACATTTCAAGAAGTAAGTCAAGTCAAGAAAGCCTTTCTTAATGAGGTGTTGTATTTTATATATTATATAATTATATATTGCTACTATGAAGAGAATGGACATAGCGAATTTTTACATGTTGGGCTTCCTATTGAACTTGTTAGGAATGTTTTTGCCGTTTTCTTCCGTTGTTTATTTTACTTTGTTTTTGTGTTTTTGCATTGTTTCGACTTTGAAATTTCAGAAGGTCTCTAACAACGATAATAAAGGCAGTAAAACGGTAGTTGTTTAAATCATTTTAGGTAAAGTTTACTCTTGAAGTTATTTACTCTTCTTAAGAGTACATTTTTTATTTGTAGTTTTCACTTTAAATAGGCACATATTATGCTGAGAGATAAACAATATTCTCTTTTGCACACGACAAAAGTAAATTTTGTAAAAATGATTGATTGAGTGAGTAAGTGTATACTTAAGCAACATCGATCTGAGAATATGTAAAGGCAAGAGAGAAAAAATTGTATTGATAAAGTTTTGCACACGATACTCTGAGCAAAATTCTCCGTAAGTGAATATATAGCGATAATTAAAGACAATAGAGCAGAAGAAAATGTGCCTGCATTTGTATTTCTTTTATCACATAGGAACTCTTATAGGAATTTACCATGTGATGAAATAGGGGACTTTTTCAACCTTTGTACTTTTTTCAAGTTGGCTTATCGTAAACAATCAGTAATCAGCTAATCAATATATATATATATGTGTATATATATAAAATTTAATTATTTTCTTTCTCTCTTCTTTTTAAAGGTTCTATTGGCAATCCAGATTTGCCTACAGAGTGGATTGACCTACGAGGTGATTGTTTGAAGGCTATGCGCGATCAAATACAGAAAGAGATCGATGCTTCTTACACTTATTTGGCCATGGGCGCCCATTTTGCACGCGATACAATCAATCGCCCTGGTTTTGCTGAACACTTTTTCAAGGCAGCGAAAGAAGAACGTGAACATGGCGCCAAGTTGATTGAATACCTTTCAATGCGTGGCCAATTGACCGATGATGTGACTGATTTAATAACAGTTCCCGTAAGTTTACTTCAGATAATCACTTACTAAGTACATTGCCTCCTTATTTTACATATTTTTGCGTTTAGACTGTCTCTAAACACGAATGGTCCAGTGGTACTGAAGCTCTTGAAGATGCATTACGCTTGGAAACCGATGTGACAAAATCCATACGTAAACTTATACAGACTTGCGAGCGAAAGCATAATTATTATCATTTGGTTGATTGGTTGACTGGCGTTTATTTGGAGGAGCAATTGCATGGTCAACGTGATTTGGCCGGAAAAATAAGCACACTTAAGAAAATGATGAACAATCATGGCGGTTTGGGTGAATTCTTATTCGATAAAGAATTGTAAACTTTTTGTCCATCCACCATTCTATTTATACTAAAGGAACTTACTCACTTCTCTGTTAATAATTGGTTATATATATATAAATATTTACAAATTATATGCACAAGAATTTCTTCAAACTGTGCTTTTGTTATCGGACAAAATGTAAAAGAAATGATTTATCTTTTGGAAGATGCTTAAGTAACATTAAGTATTGCTTATTAATTACATAGATTTACTTTACTTTATTTTGCTTTAATAAATTTCGTACTATTTTTTTTTTTTTCATTTGACAATTCGTTTCTTTTATAAAATCTGTTTATACGACACAGAAGAATTACTCCTTTCCTTGGTCTGTGTATATGCAAGCAAATGTATACTCATGCGTGCTTTCTTTTGTGTCATCATCATTTAATCATTGTTCTAGTTGTGATCATTACTTTATTTTTATAACGCTTAAGTTTTGTGTTTTATTGCTAAATATAGAAAGTGCTAAGCAAATCATAAATTTGTATAAAACTTAGAAAGGGTAACTTTAAAATTTAAGGATTGCAGAAAACTAGTTTGAAAAATGCTTTATTTGTCAATTAAATTTTCACAAATGTAATCAAACGAAATGAATTAATAAATGCTAGAAAGGCGATTTTAAAATGATTTTCTATTTTTTGGGAATGAACACGAGACCAAGTTATTATTATTCTTGATATGAGCGATGAATGAATCGGTATCGTGGGTTTCATTACTTCACCTTTGAAACGGGGCGTAGTGAATATACAAGCTGAGGCAATGTCATATCTTTCAAAAGGTCTACTATGCGAAGAAAATATATCTCAAAAGATGCTGTATTTTTAATGGCCCATGATATTCATCTATGAAATTTCATTGCAATCTATTAATATGTTCAAAGAAATGTTTTTGCAGTGTAGGACGAACTCCATAGTGATGGCCTTTTAAACTTGCCAGTAATTTACTTTAGATGCTACACTAACCCGTCAAGTGATTGGTATATACAGTTATTTCGCATATAGTAAGCAATTTATAGTAAACAATAAGTCGGTCAAATTTATTTCTTCAACTAGTGCCCTATTGACAATGATAAACAAAAAAAACAAAAAAAAAAAGTTGAGGAAAATATGTCAAAAACCTTCGGTATCCTTGGGTAGCGTGTAGTTTTTATGTACAGCTGCATCAAGGTCAAATGTGCTGTAGAAGTAAAATTAATTCCTTCAGGGGACTTTCTCAGTATTCCCTCTAGCTTGGTCTGAAGCTAATCGCGACTCGTCGTTCTTTAACCGTACTGCTCGTCTTAGAAACAATCTAACAGCAGTAGCCTTTGCCGTCGTGTCTGATGTGTCAATTTTCAAGACGAACGTTTACAAACACTATTCCCGCTGTTCACTCCAGTATTTCTTTTCCTAATCACCATTTTCCATATATTAGGGACATTCCCTGAGTGACAAATAGGAATCTGTGCAAAGGCCTTAATAAAGACCTTACGTCATCGACCGGTGCACCGATATATTGCAGCTTTTGTTGCCTTCGATTTTATTACATTCAGCAACAAGGGATGGAAATACATTGGTTTGTCCGTGTGTTTGTACCATTCAGTGGCCTTTTGAGATACATGCATGTACTTGAGTAAGGTAGGGCTACAAATCGGTCTAACCGTTAGTTGCGTTGCAGAAAATGTGACGTGAAATTACCCACGTCCACCAAGCTCCAAGAGAGCCTACGAATATCTGCTTGCCTTTATGACAGTTCTTATGTTTGTATAAGTGTTGGTTTAGCAATATTTATGTCCCCTTTTCATCTTTGCTCAGTTATTTGAATTCATAGCCTTTTTTTAACTTTCCTTATGTGCACATCATGTTTGCTTGCCCATGCCATGCGATGGATAAGCAAATGTATAAATTAAAATAATTCTTGTTAAATGACAAACTACCCTGCCGTTAAGGAATGTAACAACAACATGCAAATCTTTGTTTATAGACCATTAAAGGATTTAACTCTTCTTGTTAACTCTGGTCACGTGTATGGGTGTCTTTTTGTATAACATCGTAAATCTTTTACAATTTCAGCCATAACTCAATACGTGTTATCATTTTTTGATATATCGCTCATATGAAAGAGTGCGTACAAATGTGCAAATATCTTTGAATAAATATTAACATTTCAGACTAACATTTTCTTCTACCCATGTGTAAAAGCTATAAAAGAAACAATGTTTGCCGCCAGGCCAATCGTTAATATTCCCCACATCAAAGCTGTACCTAAAAATTGCAAGGTTTTTTTTACTAGTTCTGGGAGAAGGCAGCATTCGACCCATCAGGACTTTGTTTTACAGAGAACACCTAAGTGACTTTCGAAGTTATTTACAGAGAAAGTTTTCTATCAATATTTCTGATATATTTCTTTGTCATCTAAGGACACCTACGTTGTATACGAAAAGATGGACAAAAACCGGCTTAGAGTAAGAATAAGCCGCTCAAGAATAAATATGCATTATACCTTGTCTAACGCCTACATCAGGTGGCTCTATACGAAGGATATCGTGTCGCTCGTGGGCTCGACATTCTACAATGATAAGTTGGCCTTGATGTGGTTAGTAATTTTAAATATTATTAACAATATTTCGTTAGCGGTCCTTTTACTGGGTGCCCATGACTTGTCAGCTTGCCACTGATCCCTTAATATTCTCTTCGATAATGCCAATGCTGGGCTCGTATTATGTTTTTGGGTTAAAATGTTTATGTGTGGATCTCCGTTTAACTTACAAGTACTCGAACTGGTTATGCAACTCCGTTTAATTCAATGCCATGCGATGAAAACCAAAAAACTATTTTACATACAAAATGATTACTGAAATGATGATACGGAATATGTAACGAAGGTGGATTAATAATTTAGGTTTGACAAGTGTATTAAACAAACATCAATTTTCGTAAGTGTAAGTGAAGGAAGCCAGCTCTTTGAATAACGATTCATTCCTCGCCAAAGAAGATGAACTTTATGCAAAGTAAAATTGAGTTTCAATTTCGAAACTCTCGTTAGGATTCGTTAATGCCCTACAAATTGTTACTTTCAGTCAGTTTTTGCTGTGCTCCTTCTCCTTCTTAGCTACTAATAAAGTTTTTTTTCTCAAAGTTCTTCTGTTGACAGTTCAAGCAAGTACAATTTTATGTTGTCACTATTGCTTAAATCCGTAGCAGCTCAAATTCAAGCGTATGCGTGAACAAATAAATAAATAATAATACATTTTTTTGTATATTAAATTTTCCTAAGAATTACAGCAGTATTTTTATTTTTATTTTTTTTTTTTTTTATATTAAGCAATGTTAAAGAGAAGAGAAGCAGAAGTACAGTCTCATTGTTTAACCATGTCTAATGCAATTCGGATGTTTAAGCTAATGAAATAAAATATGAACACTGATACTGATGTATTCGATTCTAAGAGTAATTGTTTCATCTCTTTTTTTTTTTAGTCGCAATTCATTTAGAAAATAAAGCGTGTATAACAAGACAATGAAAGTTTTTTCTGCAAGTGAAAAAGAAAGTAGCGATAGTAAGCATATACACGCAAAGCTTGGCGGTTTTCACTTTTAAGTAAACATGCGACGAGTACTTCTACTTGAAGTAGAAGCAGTCGTTAAGGGCTTGTTACACTTTTACACAAAGGTATGTATCCTTGTTTGATTATGCGATTGGAATAAACTCTGATATATACGTATTCTTTAGAAAGAACAAAATTGCACTTGAAAGGATTTTAAAAGCAATACCACAACTATGCTGTTGCTCTGCTAAGGAATTAAGTAAAAATATATGAAGCTACAAGCAGTTAGAGCGACTCGTCGATACCCACCAGGTAATTGGGAAGACACGTAAATTCAGGCAGAGTTAAGAACCCAAGGGTCAAAGTTCCATTTAGAATTTTTTCAGTTGAAGAACATGACTAACTCAGCTCTAAATCTTTAGATGATTAAGAAACACCGATTAATTGGATAATACCGATGGACAGTTCGAATATTTGATGATCTGATAACTGACGGTATATATGGCGAGCGTAAAAATTGCAAACCATTTGCATGTGTCCAAGTGGACTAATGGTCAACATTTTTCCACTCAGTTTTTAAATAAGAGACTCGCACACTTTTGTATCAATTTTAATTTTTTGCCTATTGAGGACGTTTCTCTAGGCTGATAAAGTAAAGTCTGGAATTAGATCCTTTTTGACAGGAATATGAGTATTCCAGCAGCAGGCCACACGGACATAAGGACGCATCAGTAGATAGGATTAATTCAACTTAAAATGATATGTGTACTCAGATATAATTTGTAGGATTTCTAAGTTGCATTTCAGCCTGTTGTTACAAACTTAAATACAAAACCAAGTGAACTTTCATTATTTGTTGATAAGTGTGAAAATGAGACTTCGAGGACGATATATAGAAATCAGTAGAGAAAATAGCAATAACAGCACAACTCAATTGTGACTATATGCCAACTGTGTGTACGAGTGTTTATTCGTCTATTGCACATTTGCAAGAGAGCAATGTTTACAGAAACCTCAACTCTGACGGATTAGTTCTTCTTTTTCTATCATAGGTTTTTTTTTTTTTTTGTTTAAACCTATGACCATGAAATGAGTTATGTTAATTTCCTCAAACGGTTTACAATATATGTAGAAATACATATATATATATATATATATATGCTTATATTGAAACTACCGCATATATCGATCTTATTTGAATGTTGTCAGTATGTATGTGTTAGAGAATTATTTATTGGAAAGAAATTCAATTTTAAAACGATACTAATAGGATGTTAAGCTCGTTTGAGATTACAGAAAATTGTTCGATTGGTAACGAATAGTGTTGGGTATACAACATTTCGCGAAATAATCTGTCGTGTTTGTTTTGCTGTCTTCTTTTATTTTGAATTTCTCAAAAACAAGAAATAAAATACATGATAAGATGTTATGTTTCCAAAGCAGACATGTCTGCGTAAAAGATAACTTAACGCACGCCTTAAAGAAATGAGTAAGGAAAAAAATAAAAATAAAAATAAAAAAAGTCACAAAACCTACAAGTACGTACTCCCATACCTTGTAGAGATAGATTTTCTTCTCTTCACTTCCTCCGCATTGTAGTTGAAGAAAAGCGAAAAGTGCAGCAACGAGAAAGATTCACAAAATTTATATATTGTCAGACATTCTTGTTACTTTTTTTTTTTTTTTTTTACTTCTTTTGTGAATTTTTTGTATTGTGCTTAAAACCGCATCTCACGTCGAGTTAAT